ATGGCGGTGATAGTGATCCAACATTTGTGCTTGACCAACCAATTCCTGGTAATATCCATTACTGGGGATCGGGCGCACTTGAAGGGCCAGGCTGTGGCTCAGCAGGTGGCTGGTCCTGTAACAAGGGGGTTTTGCGTAAGCGTTTTATGTTTCTTGATGAGTATTTGTGGGTCTATTTTTAGATGTTACAGCCTCTATTTGGGTCTCTTTGGCTGAAGTGACCTTAGCTGACACATAGGGTGCAGTAAGCTTGTTTCGAGGGTTTTTGTGAATGTAAATAGGATCTCCAGGTTTAGGGGCTGGGGTAGAATCTGAGTGCTTTTCGTTTCGTTTGTCAAAAATTCTAGTCTCTTTATTGTGAATTTTCCTATATAGGGAATCGATAAAAGGGCGGAGTTCGTCTTTATGTCGTTGATTATATTTTTCATATACTGGCATGTCGTCGTCAAATTGAATTTCTTCGGCATAGGGGCCATAAAGGATAGAAAATGGAGAGTAACCAGTAGCGGAATGTATCGATTGATTATAGATTAGGACACAGTGAGTTACTAGATCTGGGAAATATTCCTTTGGACGTTCGTCTTTCATTACTCTGAGTTTTTCTATGAAAGTCGAGTGAAACCTTTCAATAGGGCTATTGGAATTTGGATTGTTTACTGTGATGAAATGTAGCTCAATTTTATGAAGACTCATGAATTCCTTGAAGAGATTATTAGAAAATTCTGTGCCTTCGTCACATACAATTTTCCTCGGATAGTTGTGGTGCGAAAAATAGTGACGTAATTTACTCAATATTGTGACTGTCGTTTTATCTGAAATATGGTAGACTTGAGCGTATTTAGAAAATGAATCAATAATAGTCAGAAAACATTCTTTATAACAGGAAAATGTATCTATGTGTAGAATATCGAGTGGTTTTTGACCTAGAAGAGAACCTTTCAAAGGAAGTTTGTATGGATGCCTTTCATACTTATTGCGAAGACAGATATCACACTGATTAATAAAATTTGATACAGTACATCGCATATTTGGCCAGTAATATTTAAGTTTTAACTGATTGATGGTTTCGACAATGCCGTTATGATTATTTTTGTGATAATTTTGAACACATTGAACTTGAGCTTCAAGATCGTCTATGTCTTGAACACGCTTGGAACAAAAGAAAATTTGGATGGTGTCATTGTAGGCATTTCGAACATACTCAGCGATATATTTTTGGATGTCGGTATTGTCTGTAAGAATAATAACGTTGATTTGGGGCAATTATGTCGTGAAGTGCTGTTTTTACGCCGTCTTTCCAATTTGCCTGGACAAGGGTGACCAAATGTTGATGTTTAGACTTGAATTTCAATGAATACCTGATAGAATGTTTGTCTCCAATTTTTATTATAATTTGGTTAGTGAAGTAATTTATAGGCTCTTCAGAAAATGGGACAGTAGCAACAGGATGTTCAACTGATGAATGTTGGGTAGATTGGCCAGTTTCTTTATTAAAGCATTGATTCACAAATTCGTCAAGATCAAATATTTCATCGTCCGAAGACTCTGAAGGGGGATTAGCAATCACGGATTCAGTTTCATGCATATTAATTTCTATGCGGGATAGGGCATCAGCTACAACATTCTCCTTGCCTTTTTTATATTTTACGTCAAAATTATAATCTTCCAGTTTGAGTCTCCAACGAACTAAACGAGAGTGAGGTTCTTTAATTTTCTCTAACCAAACGATGGGATTATGGTCAGTTTCGACAGTAAATTTAACACCATACAGATGAGGGCGGAAATGTTTGCACGAATCTAAAATCGCTAAGAGCTCTCTTTCAATGGTCGAATAGTTTCTTTCAGCAGTATTAAGAGTACGAGAGTAGTAAGCAACGGGTTTTCCATCTTGAGATAGAACTGAACCTATGGAAACACCTGAAGCATCTGTGGTAAGAGTGAACGGTTTTGAAAAATCTGGGTATTGGAGTATGGGGGAGTTGCTAATTGCGGATTTGCACTTTTCGAAAGCTTCTATGTACAACGGATTGGTTATGTCAATTTTTTCTCCTTTTCGTGTACAACGTGTCATAGGAGCGACTATTTTGGAGAAATTGTGAATGAAGCGTCGGTAGTAGCCGACTAAGCCAAGAAAGCTTTGAATTTCTTTTCGTGATTTGGGAATGGGATAATTTTGAACTGCATGGATCTTACTAGGATTGGGCTTTATACCCTCTGGGGTCACTATGTGGCCAAGGAATGCAACTTCTTTGCACAGGAACTCTGACTTGTCAAGCTGTATTTTTAGATTTGTGTCACGGAATTTTTGAAAGACTTGTTTGATGTGTATGAGATGTTCTTGAAGGGACCTAGAAAATATGATGACATCGTCCATGTAAACAAACATGATTTATAGAGGTGGTCTCGGAGAACTTCATCCATCATCCTTTGGAAGGTCATAGGAGCATTACGGACCCCCATAGGCATCTTCAAATACTCAAAATGTCCATTTGGGACAGTGAAAGCGGTCTTGTCCACAGAATCTGGATGGACCTGTATCTGATGGAAACCTTGGGCTAGGTCAAGAATTGTGAAATAGGTACACCTGCCAAGATTATCCAGAATTTCATCTATCGTAAGAATTGGATATTTCTCTTCCACTGTATTGTCATTGAGCTTCCGATAATCGATTACCATGCGAAACTTTTTCTTTCCGGATGCGTCTGCTTTTTTGGGAACAATCCAGACTGGAAACGGAGAATTTTTTCTTTTTCTTCAGAGTTCAAGTGTTGAGTTCGAATCATACTACTATTGAAAGAGGTACTAGAAGACTGCTTAGGAAGTTCTTCCTCAAATTCTGAGAGATATGTGGCAGAGACAGTTTGAGAAAAATCAATTTCCAAATTTTCTGGCTTAGGAATATCGATATAACCATCTTTAGCATAATGTATAGATTCTGGTAAGATAACCTGACCTTCATGGATGATTTCCGGGACAACTACTTCACCATTGTTGACGGATACAGGAATAGATAACCGATTATTTGTACGATAGATTATTTTAAAAGGAATTTCGATACCTAGTTTACGGACAGAAAATATGTGAGACTCATAGTCAATGTTTGCACCCAATTGATCAAGTTCACCAGTTCCGAGAAGAATATCAAAATCATCATGCCAGTCTGCAATTTTGACTATAAGAGGTGTATGAATACCTATTTCATTTAGTACAGGGTAATATAAATTTCGAGTATACGTTTTCGGAGTTTTCATGGAGATAAGAGTGAAGGGCTCATAGAATTCATGTTCAGGGTCATAAATTTTAGCAGCTCTTGGGGTAATAACTGTATCTGATCCACCGGAGTCGATCAAAATTTTCAAATTGGAATGGGGTAGGTAGAAATAGGGTAGCTTGGTGTGTTTTGAAAAGTTATTTAATTGGATGGTTCGATATCGGGCGGTTCCTGAATGGCAGGCCCTTGAAAATTTTCGGAATAGGCTTGTTGGTCTTTATATGTGTCATAATATTCGTGATTACAACATTTGTCAGAATATGTGACGGAATTTGGGTCACACTCTACATTATGATGAAAAGTACGACTATTATGAGTGGAGGTGGACATCGGAGTTGGTTTACGACTAGTAGTCTGCGTTACTGACATAGGACTGGGCTTGTATTGATTATTCGGTACATTATTTGGACGAGAAGGACCGAATACTTCTCTGTTAGTAGGAGGATTTTGACGTTGAGGTATGGGCCGATTTATATCACCAAATGTTCTGTTAGGTGTGAACGATTGGAAGCGGGGCTGTTGAAAAAAATGTTGGGTACCATTAGATGGATTCTGTTGAATCGAAGACTGAAAATTGGGTAATGCATTTCGATTACTCGGTTGAGTGATAGCGTGGGCATTACGTTGAATGGGACGTGGTGGTGGCTTTTGATACTCATTGGGGTAGGTAGAGGATTTCAGATACGACATATATTGCTGTTGTTGCTTATGGTTATCTAAAGAAATACATTTCTGAAGAGCTTCGTCTAACGAAGATAAATCGTAATGAGATAGGTGGTTGCAATATGGATTATTTATACCAGTACAGAAGGTTCTAAGTGCTTGATTTCTAAAGAATGAAGCTTTAAACTCAACTGCCTGTGGATTACTTTCATGAAGTGAAACATGCTGAAGAATATCATTTAATGCTAGTGTTACTCGGTGGTGATATTAATGATACGATTCGGATCGTTTTTGGACTGTGGTTGTGAGTTGGGTTAATAAAATTTCCTCGGTGCGATGATCACCATATTTCTGCAATAAAAGTAGCTTTATCTCAGCCCACTGAGTTTGATTGTGAAGATTTAAAAAATCACGAGCCTCGCCTTTTACCTTAGACAATATATTAGCATTTATGATGTAGGTTTGGATAGCATCCGCACCTTGTTGAGAAAAAAAATTACCAAATTATCTACAGAGTTGATAAAAGTAGATAGATTTTCACCCACTTTGTATTCTGGCAAGGTATTACACAGATTATTGATATCCGAATTTGAGAGAACCATGTTTGGGTTTTCTGTAGTAGTTTCTAAGGCAGAGGTACTTAATTGTTCGGTAGAAATATTTTCGAGAGAGGGAGTAGAATATGGCTTAAATCTAGACTTTTCTTTTGAAATTCTTCGAGTACTAGGTGAAATAACAGCTTGTAAAGAATCCTGTGGATACTCGGAACTCATAGGAAAAATGGAATTGACTTACATAAGGGTCAGACGAATCAGAAGGATTTTCATCTCCAGTACGGTCTCCGGTTACCGTATCCGGTTGGATACATAACTCGCGCGTGCGCATGCGCATGTGCATGGGGCTCGTTCTGGTTGGTGCTGGCGCGGGCGTACTACGGGGGGTGTAGATAGCGTTTGTGGCGTTCGTGGTAGGTGATGCGCGGGTAAGTTTGCGTTGTGTACTTTGGAGGGGCGGGGGTGGGTGGTAACAAATAATGGAAATAATCAAGCTCAACAACTATATATATATGTTATGTAATTTTAATAGTCAGTATCGCTTGTTTTTTTTTATTAGGAAGAGGTACATAGTCATACATCCTTCAATTGAAAACTATCGAGTTATATTTTTCAACAGAATAGATAGGTAAACACGTCTATGCGTAAGTGATGTGACTCACTTCATGTTTTGCAGTAAATATTTGCATATAGATCGATAAAAGCCGATGAATAATGGTAATTATAGATGCAATTCTGCGGATTCAGTTGAAATGGAAAAAACCTTCGTATTACAAAATTCGCGGAAACGATGCATATAGGATGATTTCAATAGTCAACACGTCATAGGCGTACTACGGGTGTGTAGATAGCGTTTGTGGCGTTCGTGGTAGGTGATGCGCGGGTAAGTTTGCGTTGTGAACTTTGGGGTAGGGATATTTTTCAACATAATAGATAGGAAAGCACGTCTATGCGTTAAGTGGTGTGGCTCATTTCATGTTTTGCGGTAAATATTTTGGGATAGGGGTAAGAATAAGCGATACGCTGTAAAGAGTTTATCTATCTTTATTTTGAGGTACGTTATGCATAACCAAAACATTGTACATCTTGTTTTGCTATTCTGGGAAACTTTTTCTTAAATTCTTCCACTGTATACTCTTGATCTCGATACTCTAGTTTTCCTCCATGACCGACTAGCTTGTGCAGTCCATATCTACCGCAATGTAATAAGTTGTCTTCATCGTCATTATAGGATAATAATGTAAGTGATGTCCGATCACATACCCTATAGTTCGGTTGTCTTCGTTTTTAATCTCTGTACCAAATGGCAAGCCACCTGGCGTGCCATCGTAATAGAACGCTGGGTATTCTTGTAGCACGATCTTGTCGTGCTGATAGATTTCGTATATGTAAAATGTTCCATCTTCTTGAACTGGAACAGTGAAGTCGAGAACTTTTATTACTCTTTGATTATTAGTGTGTGACGTCATTATTGTATTAAGGTAAATGTTCACTGTTCAGTGGTTGATTGATGATTGCAAAGATTACATTGTATGTAGATATATATATAGTACTCAGTAATCTGAAGATATTTTCAGACGCTTAATCATTTTGGATGCAAATTTCTCACATTCCTCCAGTCTCTTAATTTTTTGTAACTGAGTACGTTCTTTTTGTTTCAGCGTTTGAAGTCTTTTACGTTCCTTGTTTAATTTTCTTGAAATTTCGGTGAATTTCTTTTCGCATAGCCTGTTGACTTTTCGTAGATAACCTCCAATTATGCGCAGTTCATCGTTGTTCACATGTTTTTTGTGAGTCAGAATAACCGTATCATCTGTAGGACTGCTTTGCTCTTCAATATAATTGTTTACCAACTGTCGTATATCCTTCCCAGCATTACGATTTGCAGGAGCTGTTGACGATACATCAATGGTGGCTGAATTATTAAAAATATCATTTCCGATTAAGAATTCATCCATATCAAAACTATCCGCCTACAAAAAAAAATGTATAGATCAGCTAATGTATATGTTTATATAACCAGGATAATATAACGTACTGAATGTACATAATTATGTGTCAATTCCAGATTTTGTGCAGAATTTTCTTCCATGGTAACTAGTTGATGCGAACACAGCGTGGCTACGACTGAACATAACTATCTAATAAGGAAAGTGAACTACTAGGAATTTGTTAACGTATGTCATGTGACTTTCGAAGTATGAGTGTTTTATGATATATGTGTCATATATAAATGATAATATACACCTATACAATACAGAATAATACTAATCGCACCGCTGCGCTGTTTGAATATGTGTGCTGAAGAATATTCTATAGATTTTAGTGAATACAATTCGTATGATAAACGTATCAGTACATTTGAAAAAGGATGGACTGGAGTCATTAATCCTGCAGTGCTAGCAGCAGCAGGTTTTTTTTATGTTGGAAGTGAAGATATTTGCCAAGCGTTTTGTTGTGGGATAATAATATACAAATGGAAGGATGACGATTGTCCTATTAAGGATCATCTAAAATTCTCAAAAAATTGTGACTAGGCTAAACGAATGCAGAAGCTATTGAATGGAATGGGAAAGAAGACGGACAAGAAATTTGATATAATGCACCATATGATTTTACTTTCAGCTTCATATTTATTAGTTCATTTTGTAAGTTCGATAACATTAACGATTGAATAAAACAATATAATTACCGTAAGACTTTTATTTTGTAAATATATTCAATAGTCACACAATTTGGGTCCTTAATTTGGTACATTGTTACGAATATGAATATTTCTAAAGCTAACAATCATTTTTATTTTTGTTCATACATTTTTTGAGTTCATGTAATTTTCTTAGATAGGCATCTATGGCAGCGGCTGCTGTAGCGTGATTCATCTTGTTGCAAGGATGACTGACAACTATCTTCTCATTAACGCAAGAAGCCACTCGTGAAGTTCAGAACAGTTTCTTAAAGCACACATACATAGTCTCAACCTGTGATGTAGACATCGAGGTTTATTTTTATTGAAGTTCAAGACATCTAGACTGGTCTGGAGTACATCTTCTAAGTTTACGATTTCTGGTTGGAATTCCTCATCACGAAGGGAAGATAACAAAATTAGTTTTTGATGTCCTTTGACGTATACAAAATCAACGTCTGATAAATGCGACTTGATTATATCCTTCAATTGGTGCTGTTCGAAGAATCCAGAGGAATATTTCAAGCCATGATAATTTTTTTCCAACCATCGCACTTACACTTTACCGTTTGTACTTAAGAAACAAAACGGTGACACTGGTTTAAAAATATAGTGAGTTATCTGGTTACCAATCGAAATCGAGACTTCCTTTGGTAAAAACCAGTTGGAAAGTTGAACCCTTGAACATTTACTGCTGCTATTTTCATCGCGTAACCGATTAAGATGATTCTAGTACTAGGCACCACGACTTACTGAGAGCTTCGACTGCTAGTACGTTACATTTAAATTAGTTTGCGAACAATTTCGCTTAGCGGTAAATACTCTATCACAGAATCATGAATTATAATACAGTAAGTTCTAGTATCAGCGGGAAAACCTTCAGCGGATTCAAATTCCAGCTTTACATCAACGGTGGACTAGGCCTGAGACATACGACTCTTTTCCCTAAGCTCGCTCACTGCGTTCATCTCTCTTCAGTGAGTCGTTCGTTCGGAGTCGTTCGTTTGAACGACACGGCCGACACGCTTCCCGACCGACCTCGAATGACGAGTGTTTTCGTGTAATGACTCACGGCTCACTCACTTCTCACATGTTTTGTGCTGTGCTCTGTGCTGCTAGCTGCTACTCTTACCACTTTTGTGATGGTACTCACTCACGGAATGTAACGATATTGTAAAGCATATTATATCATATTATCATATCATGTCTTCAAAAAAAAAAGTGATGTTTGGTCAGCTTTTGAGGAGTTATCGGGTTCTAGAGCAAAATGCAAGTTTTGCTCTCAAATCTTATCATTTAGGGGAGGATGAACATATAATTTGATGAGACATCTTGAAACAAAGCATCCTGGTTCCGTAGACAGTGTATGTAGGAAGGGCGGCCAGAGTTCATCAGTAAGAGATGAAAATCAACTATCAGAAGCCAGTCCATCTAAACCCTCCACCTTTAGTTCCAGTAACCAGCAATCAGGAAACATAACAGCGTTTCATGTAGCAACTAAAACACAACATACTTTGAATATGAATTATTTTTTTTATGAACCTGTGCCAGTGAAAAAGAAAGATGAGATAAACCGGTGTCTGGTCAGAATGATTTCCAAACAATATCTACCATTTCAAATTGTGCAAAGTGAGGATTTTAAGCAGTTTATTGAAGAATTGAACCCTGTCTACTCACTCCCCTGTAGAAAAACTGTATCAAAAGCATTGGTACCTCAATATTATAATAAAACAAGAGAGGAGGAGTTCGATAAAATACAGTCAGCGGAATGTGTTTGCTTAACAGCTGATGCATGGACATCAGCATCAAATGAAAGTTATTTGGCCATCACAGCCCACTATTTACATTCTAATAAGATTAACTCAAACTTATTAGAGTGCTATAATTACACTGAGAGGCATACAGCTGTAAATTTATGTGAAGGACTCAAGAGAATTGCACATGAGAAAATAATTGCCATTGTTTCTGATAATGGGGCAAATATAGTAGCAGCTGTGAAGAAAACTGGCTCGAACCACATTCCTTGTTTTGCACATATAATTAACTTAGTGGTGCAATCATCTTTAGAAAAGATACACAGTTTTAGACAAAAAATAAAAACCATAGTTGATTTTTTTAGGCGTAGCCCACAAGCTACTGAAAAATTAAAACGAATGGAAATTCAACACGGGCTTCCTGAATTAAAAGTGAAGCAAGATGTGGCTACAAGGTGGAATTCCACATTTGACATGTTCAAGCGCATACTAGAAATAAAACAACCATTGATGTCAGTAATTGCAATACATTACAAGAACCTACCAAATTTATCAAACACTGACATGAAAATTTTGGAAATATGTTGTCAGATATTAAAAGTGTTCAAGGAAGTAACAGACGAAATTTCGTCAGAAAAAGAGGTGACTGTTTCAAAAATTATATTGTTTAGCAATTCACTTTCAAATATTGTAGGAAATTTCTGGTGGATAATCCAGAAATTCCAGAAGAGTGTAAACAGCTGACTGAGGCTCTATTATCGTCTTTACAAAAAAGGTTTAGCAATATAGAATTCAACAAAATGTTTGCTGAAGCAACAATTTTGGATCCACGACTTAAAAAATTTGGATTTGATAGTAAAACAGCTTTCGAATGTGCAAAAAAAAATTTAATTAGTTATGTCACCAGGAATACGCCATCATCAAGTGAAGTCACCAAGAGAAATGATGAGCAGATTCAAACAGATGGAGTTGAATTAACCAAAAAAACTACAAAATCAGCTATATGGGAATCTTTTGATTGGGCTATTGCTAATGTGGTGTCTAGTGTTAATCCTTTAACAGCTGGAATTATAGAAGTAGAAAAATATCTAGATGAGCCATTATTGCAGAGAGATTGTGACCCATTCATGTGGTGGGAACAAAGGAAACATGTATATCCCAGACTATATGTGCTTATGAAAAGTAGGTTAAGCATAGTAGCTACTTCAGTCCCCAGTGAAAGGATATTTTCTAAAGCTGGTCAAACTCTTACAGAAAAAAGGAGCAGTCGTCAAGGACAAAAAGTTTCCATGTTACTCTTTTGGAATTCCAATTTGTGATGATTATTTTTATACTTCAAATGCATACCAAAGATGTGATTAAGTTTTTGTTTAATATATTTCTACAACTTGTTTATTGAAATATGTAAATTATTTTTTGTGAAAAAGTCATATTTTTAGTTTCATTTATTTATTAAAATAATGTTCCTAAGTCATTACTTTCTGTGAATAAGTTTTTATGTTTGGTACATTTATTTTTTTTTTTTATCTGTTTGATAGGTTATTTTATTGCAAGCATTCAGGCTGTGATTAAGTTTCTGTTTGATGTATGTTTTATTTTGTTTTTTATGAATTGATATTCAAGTTTAATAAAATATGGTTCCTAATTACAGTTTGTTTTTTGTAAATATATTATGTTGCAGGTATATTTTCAATATTCCTTATATTTCATTAAATTTATTTTTCTCTATTTTTTTCTTTACTAATTATCAATATGGCAGCTAAAGGGTATAAGTACTTTAAAGATCCTATCCAAAATTTTAATATAAATTATCTCTATGACATGGACATGAAAAAGCTCAAAACTAAAAATTTTAACTTGTTCAAGTCACTGTTAAGTGAAAGATTTAACTTACCTTTTAAATTTATAAACCGTTAGTAAAACTGAATAAATATTTCACTTACATTTTTTAACACTCCCATTAAATTGACTTGACTCTTAACTTACACAAAAATGTATTATTATAAAAATTATAAAACATTCAAAGATTCAAATTTCATTCAAAATTGTCACCATTGACAACTGACATTGTCGAAGAGTCGTTCATTTTGAACGACTCGTTCGCGAACGACACACGACTACGGTGGATGACTTTAAATCTTCGCTTCGCTTGGAACAATCAATAACAAATATAGCATGAGTTTTGAATGTAGAATAGTCAAGTAATCCGTGTTTATCGTTATCATTTGAATACGTTTTGGCAAATTGCGAATACATATGATGAGTTTCCATATATTTTATTTTTAAAATCTAACTTCATATCTTCATGAGGATAATAGTCCGAATTAATCATTAACTTTATAGTATGGTTGTAAGATTTGCGTTATCTAATATGTGCTTATCCGCTTTTGCAACATCTTTTCTGGCTGTTTGAAAGGCAACAATAACAAATCTTGGAACTTCTATTGCCGAACTTGTCTTTACTGACCATATTTTTTCGTGGCATTATGAGGTAAGGACGGTAATTCATGTATTGACCACTTTCTATAACCCATAAGTATAGAAGTATCATTCTTTATCTTTTTAAGTACATCCAATTTTAGTGCATCATTTAGAAATATGTGTTTAACTTTAAGTTCAATAGAATTTATCTGTTAGCCGTTGCGTCACCAATGACCTTTAGACAATTATGATCGTGTCTGGAACGAACCAAACGTACAGTTTGCCTTCCAAACATTGGTTTTCTATAATGAAGAAAAAAACCGAGAAGATGCCATAAGGGTATGCGAAATGAAAACGTCATATCCGCATTCAAAATTGCATTGGATGGAAAATTCCATCCTGCTATAGCCGTATGGCTACTATCGTTAGGATTGTAACACAAATAACCTCTTATCATGCTCACAATACCAGGATCACGTACACGATCTAGTTCTTTTCCATTCAACTCGTATGAAATTGAATCGAATATAAAAGCGCCGGCATTATTGACTAATTCTACTTTAGCTGAAGTGGTAGTAGAATTATGATGGACTGGCAACATAGTATCCCAAAGATTTTAAGAACAAAACGTTTGTAGGCATTAGAGCTTTAGTTGAAGAATGTCTTGTCTTCATAAGATGATTAAGTTATTTTCTTAAGTTCCAATCTAACAATTATCTCTTCCCCTAAAGTTAACAAGCTCTCCGTTTTGATCCAATATACGTAAACTAATGTTATTGATAGTATGTGTTTCGGATACAGGTAAATATATCAAGTTACGGGGCTGAATGTCTATAGCATAACCAGCATCTACGTCAATGGAAAATTCGAAAATTGTGTGCGACGGTTTGCTGTTATAGAATGAACCTGTTGTAATATTACAGTCAATGTGTACAGTAATCACTTTAACTATTTTCACTGGTAGATCGACCGAATTTTTTTTTTTTTTTTTTTACTCCACTACCACGAAGGCCCAGGC